TTACGTCGTAACCAACTACGATAACCTGGCAGAACTCATTAGTGCTACGAGCTAGTCCTTCTTAACTGAGTGGTCCCCAGAAGTGGCATGCGGGAAATTTGTCAACAAATTCAACACGCTCGTAGCATTGGCATCTAAAACCAAAATCCCCCGACCCGACAAGGCTAAGTCGTTTCTCAGAAGCAGGACCCGGAAATGCATGGGATTGAGGGATCTGGCATGGCGCGCCCATATAGCCTCTCCGAGCGAGGATACTTGGAACACCTATATTACACCAAGAAACCACTGTGTCACACTCGTCAGGGAAGATAAGGTAAAGAGCCAACAAGATCTTGTGTCAAAGTTCTGCGTTAACCCAAAGCTACTATACAGACACATAAATAAGCTTTGCCGCGTTAAGCGCGGAATTCCGGCTCTGCGCACAGCTTTCGGATTAGCACAAACGGCACAGGATGCGGCGAACGTCCTAGGACAACACTTTGGCCCTACTTTCCAGTGTGTGCCAACATCCTGCACCATATCTAGGCAACTTATTCCGCCATCAGGCCTTAACCACATTTCCTTCACAACTGCAGCTGTATTGAAGCGGTTGATGTCGTTGCGCGAATTTGGCTCCCCGGGTGCGGACGGCATTCGGCCGAAAGCGCTGAAAGTTTCCGCCACGAGCTTAGCTGAACCTTTGGCGACACTCTTTCAGCGATGCCTTAACGAGATGCACGTCCCAACGATGTGGAAGCACGGGATCATCACTCCAATCCACAAAAATGGTAGCCGTGCAGATCCAACTAATTATCGTCCGATTACCCTTCTTCCGGTAATCTCCAAGATCATGGAGTCCATTGTAGCCGAGGCCCTCATGGAGTACCTGGAGAAAAACAACATCCTCGTTCCGGAGCAGCACGGATTTCGCCAAGGCAGGTCCTGCACAACTAATTTGCTGATTGCTCGTTCAAACTGGACAGAGTCTGTGGACGCCGAAGTCGGAGTGGATGTAGCCTACTTGGACTTCTCTAAGGCATTCGACCGACTGGACCATCGGATTTTACTGAACAAGCTGCAGCATTGTGGTATCGGCAATCCTATTCTAGGATGGATAGGCGAATTTCTCCTTCAACGTCACCTGAATGTGAGAGTCCGAAATACCCTGTCGGAACCAATCGAAGTTCAGTGTGGCGTACCTCAGGGCTCGGTACTCGGGCCTCGCTTGTTCATTGTTTTCATAAATGATCTTGCAGCTGCACTATCTTCCAACTTTCTGCTGTTTGCAGATGACCTAAAGGTATGGCGTGCCATAGCTTCAGGAGAGGATCACACAGCCTTACAGGATGATTTGGACAAAGCATACAAGTGGTCAAACGAGAACATGCTACAGTTCAACACCACAAAGTGCAAAATCTTGAGCATACGCCATCAGAGTGCGTATAACTACCGCTTAGGACCTGACATTCTACAGCGGACCTCTCATGAGTGCGATCTTGGCGTGCTTGTACAAGAAGATCTTGGGTGCTTAATGCAGACCGAAAAGGCCTCCACGAGAGCAAACCAACACTTTGGCCTTCTGCGCAGAGCGTTTGGGAAGTTTGACGCCTCAATCTTTCCGAACATGCTTAGCGCTTTTGTTAGACCGCACACAGAATACGCTATTCAAGCGTGGCAACCATGGCAGAAGTGCCACCTCACTGCACTCGATACTGCACAACGCAGAGCGACAAAATACGTCAAAGGTCTTTCCAGCCTTCCCTACCCACTCAGGCTGAAAACTCTTAACTTATACAGTGGACGTTACCGTCGTTTGAGAGGCGATCTCATATTGGTGTACCGGATACTGAGAACCCCCAACCACACGTGTCATTCCCTTTTGAAACGTAGTCAAAACGCATCCCTAAGAGGTCATCAGTTTAAGTTGATCATACAGTACAGTCGACTGGAATGTCGACACAATTTCTTCTCCCTCCGAGTGTCACAACCTTGGAACGCTCTTCCAGAACATGTAATTAACGCTCCCACCCTATCCGTTTGCAAAAAACGCCTTGACGAAACTCTGACACGATTGCACTATGTGATATAACGTGCGACCATCGGATGATGGTACTAGTGAACAACGAACGTGGACGGAATCCACTTATAATTCCTATTGGATTACTTGTTTATGTGCATCTCCAATCCCTTGGTGAGTCATGCATTTCACACGTACTTTCATCGATACGATTTTTAATTTTACGATGTTAATTCTCATCATCCTACGGGACCTGTCAAGCATTGCTTTTATACCCGTCATAAACCATTGTTCCATTGTTCCATCACCGGTTTAACAAGTGTTTTTTCATAAGGGCTGTTTTATACATGCATTATAAGCAAAGAAACCTCAGTCTGTTCCGATACTCGGATCATTCAAGTATGGCGCTACTTTTGGTATATGCCAGTGAGTCAATGGCAGTATGCCATTCATGGGTATAATCTTTTGGCTTTGAAGCTGTAATCCGTTACCTCAAGGGATCAGCCCAATCGTGGCCAACAACGAAATAAGGAAGAATATGAGGTATAAGGAATTGAAGCACATACTACTAATAACTACCTTTTGCAGATAGTCGAATCCCAAGTCCATGGGAAATCTTGGTGAACAACGACAATGGAACAGAAATTCCGGGAGAAAAAGTTGTTACATTCCGACCAGGAGTTCGTAAAGACTAAAGATCAGTAAAGGTAACCCAAGTGCATTTGATAATGCCTCTGCAGTTGTGGGCGATGTATCCCAAAAGACGAACAATTGGAACCATCAGAATTGAAAGACGATTGGTTTATTAATTACAGACGATTGATCGTGTAGTAAATATCCGTTATCGATAGCTCAGTGAAGGCACGGAAAAAAATAAGAGATGTGCGGTTGAGTACGGTAAGTTAACATAAAGCAGGTTTTGAGTGATGCTGGAAGTAAAAGGCAAGGACAGAGTAATCATCTTCAACAACTGGCTGCCGTTGTCTTACTGTTTCAAATATGACCCGGTCCTTCCTCAAACAATCCATCGTCGTTCATTTGCAAATTTAAGGTCCGTTTTAGTTTCGCTGATATCAGGAAAATCTTAATCATTTTGTTGAATATGTTCAAACTATTAGTACATCGTATACAACTAGGTAGCTTATTTATACCAGGCTGAAGCTTACAAGTTCCGTCGGACCATGGTCTTCAATGGATAAATGGCAATCATACCTTCGGTGTCGCGTAATTCATGTCTGGTTTCCAACCGAAATTACATAGACTGGTGTTCACTATGCACTTCATGCCACACAATTGTAGGTAGGAAACAAAGATTTAAATGTAAATTGCGCAGCCATAAAGGCTCAAGGGTTAATTCATTACATTTATCTTCATAGGGAACAAGTATTGAGTAACCGAAGATCCGTTTTGGAAAGGAACGTTGAACATTTCCTATGATCTTAAAAGCACAGTTACATAGATTACGGAAACGTAACGAAACAGTATTCTAACAAAAGCGTTATATTGATTGTGTATGCCATGAGCCTTGTCTCTCTCTTTGTTCCCATGATGATTGCGGTCAAAGCCCGAGTTGACGTGCCCTCATTTATCCGCATAATCTCATACGACTGTGTCAATTATGAGTGTCAGTGCGATTACCACAACGACTGCTCAGCTAGACCTCCCTGCAAACGACAAAAATACAGCCAGCCTTACAAACATGATGTAACGCTGCATGCGCTCTCCGGATAATTGCGATAAAGTCCTTAAGATCCGGATAACTTGTTCCAGCCGCATTAGATCGTACTATCCGCATTGTATAGGCAAATTCGCCTGAGAAGTGAAACAGATAGTCAAAGTTGCTGACACATTTTGGTTTTGTCCAACATATGAAGTCATTCCAGTTGTCAAATGGTTATCTTCTCTCATGAAGAAGTGCGATAAAATAACTGAGACTATCGCGCAGTTAATGAATACTAAGATCGTTAATACCTCAACTAACCAACCCAAACCCCGTTTCTAGGCCGAAGAAGAGAGCCAGACGATCTAACCGCGCTGCAACGCCTTTGTCTCTAAATCTTCCGGCTCACCTCACTCCCGTAAGCGGACAGGCTTCAAACTTGCATGCTTCTTCTCCTTTCAGCACTGTAGCCTACATCAAGCCAGTGGTGAAATGACAGCTCCGAGCCTGCGTTTGTCCCCCATAGAGAAAAGCCGGGCATCGTATGCAGCAGTTGCCTCCTGACAAACGTCGGATAGAACATCCCTGACGTTGTTAACTGCACCAAGCAACATTAGGATGAAGCGGTCTCCACAAAACACCAAGCCGTTTAAAAAGGTATCGGTTAATACTCTGAAACCTACAACCAACAGAAGAAATCAGCAGGCGTTAACTGTTATGTGCATAAAAGTTCCAGTATCTCCACCTAGTACTATAAAATTAAAGATGATGGACGAGCGTAATCAGTGGATTTCCATTTTTCGTGCAATTCGTCTTTCGGTTGAGTGCACGACACTGAGAGGGGGTCCCACGTCACCAAACTTCAGCGCATTACAGCGAGCCTCGACTTCCACCAGTGACACAAATTTTCATCGAAGACACAGAGACAGTTCTACTGTATTCGATTCGGATCCGTAGCTCATCACGTAAGGTGCGCATACTTCCGGATATACGTTGGAACGTAGGTCCGACAGAGAATAGCAACGGTTCAGAAGTTCGTAAACCTGACAAAATACGGATGCTTGTAGTTTACGGGGTTTCTGAACTTCAAACATCCTCTTTTGAGAAGGCGGAGACACTACCGGGAGCAATTGAGCTATATCCGCCAGGAACTCGCTGTTATGTTCGCTGTTCAGTAATCGAGAGCGAAGACTGGCACTACTTCAATGGTTTACTAGCATATGTGGAAATTACCACTGAGTTACGGAACACTGTATACCTTAACCCTTGCCCAAACACGCTCACTCGATACCAATCGATTTTCAGGTGCCATTTGGTTGGCTGAAAAGCTAACACACGTGACAACTTTAACACCTTGCAAGGTTTTTAAAAGAACTACACATAAGATCTTTTACTTGGAATGATGCTGTCGCTGAATTGGGGGACGTGTCCTTGTAGAATGACTGTTCATTTTCCACTTATGTGACAGCATCAACATGCTGCGTTTGCTGTTGTTTTCTATCGGCCTAGGAAAAGCAAATATATCCACAAGAACGTGAAAAGGGAGCTCGGTGGTGCCTCCGCTCTTAATTTGTTCGGTTGTACAACGGTGCTGGATGTGGTCCGCATGACGTATAGACAAACCATTTTGACATCTCACTTCGTACATTTGTGGCCCAGCCGATGGCCTATTCACTATTTTGCCACATCGGCGCAGAGCCAGTTGGAGCATGGAAATGCGGGCGAAACCCATCGAGAGAATACCCTGCATAAAAGTAGGTCCCCTGGGGGGCAGTTCCATGGATGGACATATTACTTTACTTGAAATGTTGCTTAGATTTACATTTGTTGTTATTCCTAGTTTCCTAATCTCTCTAATATTTTCAAACTGCTAAGGACGTCAATAAACCCATACGGAAATCTTTGTACAAAAGACGTACAATTAACAATATTATGCGATCAAGTTCTACAAGTTGTTCAGATCACTCAATTGGTCTGTGACTCGCACTGTCGAGGAACAAAATGTTTATTTATTTATTTTCTTTCTTTGACAATTCCGGAATCCAAGATTTATGTGCATCGCTGAAGCTGTACACGAAGATTTGCTCACCGGGATGAAAGTTTCTCATGCGCGTACCGTGCTTACGATTGAACTGATTTATCATTTTCTGGTCGCACTTGTTAGTCTCCTTTGTTTAAAATATGGCATCTAAGGGCGTGCGTAAAACTATACCAATAACAAGTTCCCACGGTGATTGTTGGGTTGGGAGAACAGGACTCGGTATCGAACGATATCTGCATGGAAATACATCAAAATTTACAGCGGTATCTTCCCTTTATGTTTAAACAGATCACGTTTGAATGTAGTAACGAATCTCTCAACTAATCTGTTAGGCTGGGGATGATAACTGGGGTTGTATATATGTTGTACACCCATGGATTGACAAAATCAGTTGAACTCGTTCGGTATGAATTGTGGGCCATTATCCCTAACGAGTGCTTCGGGGGGGGGGGGGGTCAAACTGAGAGAAATAATGACGAAAAGCTGAAATCGTCGAAACTGTTGTTGGCTGAGTGACACAAATCACGTCTGGCTCCTTTGAGAAGGAAACAATAATAACAAGAAAATATTGATTGTTCAGCAGACCTGAATAATCCATATAAATCCGCATATCAGGGGGCAGTTGAATTTGGTCAATGAGAAAACCCAAATTTGATGGGCCGTTTGGCAGGCTGTGCACATTTAGGACATCTGCATACAACGTCTTCAATATCCTTATCACTCTTTGGTCAATATGTAAAACATCTGGCATGCAGTTTCATTCGTGTTATTCCTTGGTGTCCGACATGCTGAAATTGACTCACTTTTACTTCAAGGTTTTAATGGATCACAATACGTTCTGTCAGCATGAAACAATCGTTCACAGTTGTTGGGGCGTCTTTACGCACAAAATATGGCCTAATTTCAGCGTCTGATAGAATTCTTGCAAACCATTGCTAACATAATAGTGGACGAGTTGTAAACATCTATCAGATCGTGTGGAATCACAAATGTCCTTGTAAGTAACCGGCGAATTCCGTAATGATTCTTCGAAGATGGAGTTTATTTCCGCATCAAATTCAACTGCCGAAATAACGGCATCTTCATGTAGCTACGAATTAGGTCTATTTGCAATAAGCCGCAACAAAGAATCAACATGACTGAAACGTTTCAAACAGATGTGTTTAATGGTAAAATTGTATCCGAAAAGTATTGTCGCTCAACGTTGCAAACGGTTTGCAGTGTGTGCAGTGTGTGCAGGAATTCCTTTCCTTACCAACTATAGGCAGCAAGCTCATGTGATCAGTGCATAACGTGAATTTCCAACCATGTAAGCTTACTTTACGCATCACCAATGCAGTCTGGAATCACTATTTTCGGAGCTAAAATGTTTTCTGTCAGCATTTCAAATAATTTCTGCTGTTAATTCAGTTGGAGCTGCTGAATATGAAACGTTTGCATGATGACACTAAGATTAACCATCTCCGTCGCCAAACTGATAAATCCGCTGCTCAGTATTCCAGAGAAAAGACTGGCACGGCTTCAGACGTACCCTATCTTGTACAGAAAGTATCGCCGACTGACCGTACACTGCAAGCGTTAGCCCTTGTCCAAACACGCTCAATCGATAATAATCAATTTTCAGGTGTCATCTAAATAACTGAAAACCAGACACAGGTGAACGCTCTAAAACTCCCGCGAAAATATCGTTGCAAAGCGGTTGACATAAATTTCAGCATCACCCTACCACAAGGGAAACCTTCCCCAAATTGGGAAGGTGATGTTTTAGGCGCAACTAATGGCAGCGCTTATAATGGAAAACTAGTCTAAATTACGCAAGAAGCCGCCTACAGAAATTCGACTAAAAACAGAGGGTACACGGCCACGGTTGGCTAACGGAAAGTTGAGACGACCAGATTGGCCAAACTGCCCTCATACAGCTCTATGAATTGCTGGATGTAATGGCCATCTCAGCTTCCGGCGGAATAAAGCTAAGACGAAAGAACATCGGGGCCAGGAGAGCCAGACAATCTTGTCTCACCAATTTGCTGATTACTCGGGACTCATGGACCAGCGCGGCTATTGAAGGAATCCCAATATATGTGAGTTACTGGGATTTTTCTAAAGCATTCGACAGGATCAATCACTTCTTTCTCCTCTAAAAACTTATTGCCTACGGTATCAATGGTTCCCTGCTCACCTCGTTAGAAGACTACTTACGCGACAGCGCAATCAGCGTAAGAGTATCCGACACTCACTCTGCAAGCCTGTGCGTGCGCAGTGGTGTACCACAAGGATCCGCCCTCCGCCCGCTCCTGCTCTTAGTCAACATTAATGGCCTTCCAGCTGACAATCTGTTTCCGACGCAAATATTTGCAGACGATGCTAAAATATGGTGAGCAATTCGTTCAGCATCCGACCGTGGCCACATCCAAGAAGATCGGACTCTGATTAACGAATGGGCAAAAAGGAACCAGTTCCCACTGAAACCTGCAAAGTGCCACCTACTGACGGTGCGCAGCAGTTTCGTCAACACACTTTTCGGGGCAACACGTTCTGCAACACGTGACTAGTGAACGCGACTTAGGGATAATCGTGCAAAAGAGTCTTGACAATTCGCTCTAATGTTCGAAAGCAGCAAGTGTGGCGAACTTGAACTTGAGACTTTTGAGGCGGGTTCTCGGTACCTTTGAGCGACGGCTAGTACCACTGCTGATTTACTCCTATATTCCTCCTCACGTTGAATATGCAATTCAGGTCTGGTTTCCCTGGTTTAAACGAGACATTCGCCTATTGGAACAACTCCAAACGAAAGCCACAGAGGCAACTCGTGGACTATCCGGTATAAGTTACGAACTGCGTCTTCGTGTACTCGGTATGTTTTCATTAGAATACTGACGGCTTCGCGGAGAGCTTACTCTCACATACCGGATACTAACTGAAAGCGAGCATCCATGTGCATCAATGTTGACTCTAGCCCCTTACAAAACAAAGCCCAGGGAACCGCCTGAAACTAATGACGCAACACGCCTGTTTGAATGGTAGAAAATATTTTTAATCGCTTAGAATCTGTTCTCACTGGAATGCATTACCAAGATATGTGGTGAATGCACCAGACATCACGACATTTGAAAGACTCTTAGACTTTCATCTTAGTGATAAATTGCAATGGTTTGACCGTTGATACTTCACGTTCCACGTTGGAACATATTGATTTTAAATTTCTTTTGCATATCCATCCTGTGGGTCTTGTAAAGTTATGCTTTTTATCCCATCATACACTATTGAACTATTAAACTACCTGGTAAGCTGCGGTATCGCAGTGTCGAAGCAGCATGGAGTTACTAAATAAGTAAGTAAATTGTGTATTCCTCGACGATGCGGGGAGCTGTTTCCTAGAAGGAACAGATCAAATAATGTTGCAACCTTACCATGACATTGCATTAATACTATTACCGAAATAAACATGAGCGAAATTTAAACTTAAGTAACCTAGAGTAATCAGAATCGTTCGGCAAAATTTCGTGCTACTGAACCAGGATGCTTCACAATCACGTGACAGGTGTTTGGGACGAGAAAAAAGGAAATGAAAGGACCTGTTGTCCGTAATGTTATGTGTATGTGTTTCGAAAATTTATTCAGGCGCCATCGATACCTTTTTAGAATATGTTATCTAGCGACTGTGATGTCCTAAACATATTAGTCACGTCTTAGATGGTTAACTGCTTACTAATCGAAAGCTTCAAGTTGTAAAGTGTATAGCATTTTGCGATACCACTTGGAAGTTTGTTCCAAATCTTTGAGTAGTGGGTTAGAAAGCAACATTCTCTGATTCTCGTGGTAAAATTTAGAACCATGACCACTACCTCTTTGTTACGGATTGGATATCTGCTGTTTAAACATATGCGAACACCGTTATCAAGACTGTGAATTTGACAGTGTATGATTCCGTGACGAAAACATAGGTTCAGCTTCATACTCCGAAGGCAAACTGGATCAAATCCAAGTTGCTCACATAGTTTTCTGTTTGTCAACTCTGAGGACTATCCACATAGATTTTCGAGAAGCTTCTCAAGACCTTCTCAAGAGCATGATGATCAGATTTCCGCGGATTAGGCTGTACCACTAAACAGTATTCCATACACGGCAATACGTATGTTTTGTAAATCGCTATGCGAGATTCATTGAGGTCAAAATGATGGCTGATGTAACCGATGGTCTTCATGACTTTCGAAACTTGAAAGTCACAATATTCAGGAAAGTTAAACCTGACTGCATATCTCACGCCCAAGTCGCGAACTGTCCTGCATTGCGAGATATATGTGCCTTGTAGTAATAAACTGTCTGGTGATACTTGGCATTTGTATGACCAAATATTTCATTTGTCCACGGCAAATGACATCTGCCACAGTTGACACCGGGAGTCAACGGCACATAGATCATCCTGAATGAGACGTACGGCTTCCTGGATATTTGCACGTGATTGTGAGTAGACAACTTTAATGTCATCAGCAAAGATAAATGGAACACCATTTCTTATTCTCTGGAATATATCGTTTATATAAATTAGAAAAAGAAGGGACCAAGAACACTCCCTTGAATCACTCCACTAATGATTGCTTTCGGTGTAGAGAAATGGTCGCCGATGCGCTCCACCTGCTGTCTAGCAATTAGATATGAAGACAGTCAAGAAAACCGGTTTTCCAATGCCTATAGCCTTCAGTTTGTTTATTAACCTTCTGTGAGACACTCTATCAAAGGGTTTTTGCATATCCAGGAACAGGATTACAACACTGTTTCCGCTGTCTATAGCAGTCTTTGTGTGGTTTAACAAGTCTGTCTGGCATGCTGCGCAGAGTCGACCTTGCATGAAGCTGTGTTGCAAATTGCGGATGATGTTCGCCATGTTAGAGAATACAAATAGTTTATCTTTCGCTATGCTTTCCATTATTCTAGATACGATGGGCGTGTG